TTATAGCCAAACGTCGAATAGCCAATTAACAGCCACAATTTATCAGTAATAATTGAGACGATGGACCAACGTTCAGCCAACATTGGCCCAACATCGAATGGCCAGCCAAAAGCCAACATTTAAAATTTAAAATTGAGACGATGGACCAACGTTCAGCCGACGTTAGCCCAACGTCGAATAGCCAACCCAAAGCCACCATTTAAAAAAAAAAATTGAGACGATGGACCAACATGAAGCCAACATTGGCCCAACGCCGAATAGCCAACCAATAGCCAACATTTATAAGTTAAAATTGAGACAATGGACCAACGTTCAGCCAACATTGGCCCAACGTCGAATAGCCAACCAATAGCCACCATTTATCAGTGAAAATGGCAACAATGGACCAACGTTGAGCCAACTTTAGCCCAACGTCGAATAGCCAACCAATAGCCACCATTTATCAGTAAAAATAAAGACAATGGACCAACGTTCAGCGAACATTGGCCCAACGTCGAATAGCCAACTAATAGCCACCATTTATCAGTGAAAATGGCGACAATGAGCCAATGTTAGCCCAACGTCGAACAGCCAACCAAAAGCCAACATTTATCAGTAATAAATGAGACAATAGACCAACGTTCAACCAACATTGGCCCAACGTCGAATAGCCAACCAATAGCCAACATTTATCAGTGATAATTGAGACGATGGACCAACATTTAGCCAACATTGGCCCAACGTCGAATAGCCAACCCAAAGCCACCATTTATCAGTGAAAATGGCGACAATGGACCAACATTGAACCAACAATAGCCCAACGTCGAATAGCCAACCATAAGCCACCATTTATCAGTGAAAATGGCGACAATAGACCAACGTTAAGCCAACATTGGCCCAACATCGAATAGCCAACCAATAGCCATCATTTATCAGTGAAAATGGCGACAATAGACCAACGTTCAGCCAACATTGGCCCAACGTCGAATAGCCAACCAATAGCCACCATTTATCAGTGAAAATGGCGACAATGGACCAACGTTCAGCCAACATTGGCCTAACGTCGAATAGCCAACTAATAGCCACCATTTATCAGTAAAAATGGTGACAATGGACCAACGTTCAGCCAACATTGGCCCAACGTCGAATAGCCAACCAAAAGCCAACATTTATCAGTGAAAATGGCGACAATGAGCCAACGTTAGCCCAACGTCGAATAGCCAACCAATAGCCAATATTTATCAGTGATAATTGAGACGATGGACCAACATTTAGCCAACATTGGCCCAACGTCGAATAGCCAACCCAAAGCCACCATTTATCAGTGAAAATGGCGACAATGGACCAACATTAAACCAACAATAGCCCAACGTCGAATAGCCAACCCAAAGCCACCATTTATCAGTGAAAATGGCGACAATGGACCAACGTTTAGCCAACATTGGCCCAACGTCGAATAGCCAACCAATAGCCACCATTTATCAGTGAAAATGGCGACAATGGACCAACGTTCAGCCAACATTGGCCCAACGTCGAATAGCCAACCAATAGCCACCATTTATCAGTGAAAATGGCGACAATAGACCAGCGTTCAGCCAACATTGGCCCAACGTCGAATAGCCAACCAATAGCCACCATTTATCAGTGAAAATGGCGACAATGGACCAACGTTCAGCCAACATTGGCCCAACGTCGAATGAGCCAACCAATAGCCACCATCTATCAGTAAAAAATGGCGACGATGGCCCAACGTTTAGCCAACGTTGGCTTGCCGACTGCGACCCTGCCGACCGTGGCCGACGTTGGCCCAACGCCGTATTGTTATCTGGGATACAGTTATATATTATAGCATAAGACTGAAGAGTATTATCGCTTTTGTTTTAGTATAGTCTATTCTTTATAAAGCTTGAAATTATTTTAAATACCATTATTCTTGTGGTATGTTTGGATCTTTATGCAATGATTGTCTATTATTTTAAATGCAGAGTATAAGAATAAAATATGAATGATGACTCTTTGTACACATAAATTTGCTCATATAATTATGTTTTTAGGAGCTCCTGCAAATGTGTGCTACCAAGAGTTTGATGTGCCTTTGGATTTTCCAGTAAAACTGAGGAAATATATCCCCAATGCTTTCTTCGGTACCCTTCCAGATGTAGGCAATGCTGGCAGGTCTGTATGCAAATGTTTTATGATCTTTTGAACCCGACATCTAATTTTTTCTTTCAATACCTCTGTTTACATCTGGTTCTGATCTCCCCTTGCATACAATAGGGAGTAGATTATGCTATATTATCAGTACAGCTTTCAGTTTGTATGGAGCCTCCAATGGACAAATACAATTGCACAAGAAGAAAAAGAAGGTAAAAATGGAAATGTCCTCTTAGCATTTGTACGTCTAACAGGGGGAGATCCACGATTCTGGAAGGGGGAGGGGGGAGGGGGAGGGGGAGGGGGGAGGGGGTGGATGACAGATGCCTTTGGGTCTAATATTTTCAAGGTGGTTTGGCAAATAAACACAATTTCTGTGGGCCATATTTTTCATTTGTGTACCCAAGGGTGCTCCCCCTAATTGCCAATCTGTCTAAAAAAATATAAAATACGGTACATGTATTAGCATAGAACCACTTCCTCCTCATAACAAAAAAAAAAAGATAAAAAACTAAGTAGTAATTTTACATGGCAATATGAAAAATCTAGAGAAAGTTTTGTTAACTTCTCCTGTTTTGTTTTGTCTTTATCATGACAGGAACATGCGAACTGTTGCCCTGGTGTCCGTAAGGGAGATTCAATGTGGAGAGGAGTTACTTTCTTCCTACTTTACACTCATCTATTAGACAAAAATTGAGTAATAACACTCTGCAGACAATTTGATCCAACAAATACCAGTATACCAGATTAACGGTGTGTTGGCTCAGTCAGTAGAGCGTCCGCCTCACAACCGGGAGGTCGTGGGTTTCGAACCCCGGCCGCGTCGTACCAAAAGACGTTAAAAGACGGGAGTTGCTGCTACCTTGTTTGGCGTTCAACAATAAGGGATAGAGCAACGTCGATCTGGCGCTGCTCAGTGGCTGCAGGGCTCACGATCATTTGGGCAAAAAGAGTTTCCATTTTCGGTTTAACTTAATAAAATTTGGAGTAGACTTTAAAAGATTATTATTATTATTATTATTATTATTATTATCATGTGTTTGAACATCCCAGAAGCACTACTTTATGAATTGAGAAACATACAATATTTCAATATATATATATATATATATATAAAATATTACAAAAGAAAAGAACAACTTTATACATTTGCAATGTTATTTATTGTCATATGACCAGTATACATACATGTACATACAAAATGTTCACAAAATATTAGTTCTGAAAAAATAATGCATTCTATAATAGATAGAGGTGCATAAATCCATTTTAGCCCCTCCTCTTCAAACAAAGCATTTAGTTCAGTATAATTTGAAAGGAAAACATTTTCCTTGGTTCTTGATGTTTCAAAGTAGCGGGATATGATATTAATCCATGAATTCCAGCAGTAGTGGATGATGCATCATCGTCACTATAAGGAATTTTAGATGTCATACTAATTATGAGTGCACTACAGTAAGTTACATTTTAAAGACACAAAAACTCCTAAATTTTAGACTGGCCATGCTTGTGTATTGCTTGTGTATGACTTGTGTATACATGTACATGTATATTTAAACCTGCTTTAGTGACCACCTGTCGACAAAGACCACATTTTTTGTTTCCCTTGAAAATTGTTTTTCATTGAAACATGTACTATAGGCACCTGTCTACAAAGACCACCTGCCTATAAAGACCACTTTTCTTGTCTCCCTTGGGTGGTCTGTATAGACAGGTTTCACTGTAGTTACATGGGTAAATTAGCCATTTGGTGCCCTGCCATTACCGTAAGTCATCTCATCTGATTACATTTCATCTCCTTTCCATCATCCATGTTGTGTTTTATTTCACTTGTTCAGAATCAATCCATTGACTTATTTCCAGGGCCCTTTTCACAAAACTTGTCATCAGTGACAAATGACAATTTTTGTTATAAGCTAGTAAAATCCTTGCTTCTGATTGGTTATCAGCAGATTTGTCATTGAAAAAAAGCTTTGTGAAACGGGTCCCAGGTGTCTCAAACCTTTGAGTTCTATTATTCACTTGGTCTAATTCACACCATTTGGTCTAATGGACAGGGCTGGAAACCTGTAAAAAGATAAACTGGTTAGCAGGCTAACTCACAGGGCATTGGATAAAAGGGCAATAAACCTTTAAATTTATATATGGATATGACAGTTATTTGAAATGATATTATTTGAAAACCTTTGACCAAAAGTGCATGAAATGTATTGCAAGGCACCATCGTGCCTTAGCCTATTAAAATGATAACTTTAGAACATTATTATGAACTCATTACAGTTCATATATTTATTGTATTGTGTATACATGTATTGAAATAATCTCAAATACACTTATTAAATAAATGCCAGCACAGAAAATGTGTATTACGGTTGAACAGGGTACCTATTTATCATGTAATTATTCTCCTTTCCTGTTTAGATTGTCATCATACAAAGTAAAGTTCAATTTGTATTAAAGTTACATAAACTGAAACAGACAGATTCTTTGCTTTCATTGTTTCCATACTAGTACAGGAACACAGTGGCGTACGCACAATTTTTTTCGAAGGGGGGTTTTAAAACTTGAAAATCGTGCCGAAAATTTCGCAACAAGGACAATTTTTTGTTTTTGGTCCAAAATTTTGCAACGACTCAGCCAACCGCTGAATAAACAGGGGGGAGGGGGGGTCCAGGAAATTTGGCTAACCAATTTGGTCGACTGATATTTATTTCAGTTGGGGGGGGGGGGGAGGTCACTTTTTTGGGTCACCCTTTAGCCCTTTTTTTTTTTATTAAAAAAAATGGGGAGGGGGGGGGGTTTCCTCCAAAACACAACAAAAAATTGAGGGGGGGGGGGGGTTCGACCCCCAACCCCCCCCCCCCCCCCTGCGTACGCGCCTACAGGGACATACCATGTGACCGTACAATCTCCAGAAAGAAGGTACAGTCAAACCTGTCTATAGCGACCGCCCAAGGGAAACACAAGAAGTGGTCTTTGTAGATGGGTGGTCACTAAAGCAGGTTTGACTGTATTGCCCGAGTCAGTACCCTTGCTGGGAGAATTTACTTGTTTCTCAAAACTGTCATAAAGTCGCTCATGCCTGGTATTGGCACCATGGCTGTTAGGCACAAAAACTTGAGTAGAATATTACATCAGATTTGATGTTCATGGCAAACCGGTTCAAAATAACACATGTAAATCAGCATTCAAACATGACCCATTTTTATAGGATTTATTGATAACTCATATCTTCTAAACTGCAGGGTGGTCAAATAATAGGCAGAAGGGTCCAGAGTAAAAATTGGGGGTTCTCCTTGCACTGTACACTCATTGATGCTGTACCAGTCCCAAAGTACTCTGTACTATTTTTGAAGTACTCACTACTCAGTACTACAGTGTTAAAGCAGGCCTGCACTACTTGTACTTATACTTAGCTATTTACGCTCTCTATACAGTCAACAAAGCGGTACCTGTTGATCCCCGTGGTCCCCTATTTCTTATGTTAATTGAGAGCTGATTTGATGAGATAACCACCTGCCAGTTACCACACAGGGGGGGGGGGGGGGGTCTAATCCCTCCTGGCCAAACTAGTGCAGACAGGCTTTAAAGCTGGTCTTGTGCACCTTCACAGAAGCTGCGATACTTCTGAACAACAAGATCCACTGTCTCCAGTCAACAGTTGATGCATGAACCCAGTAACTACTGGATTCTCTTGATTGCATATGCCAACATACAGAAACAGCCCTCATCCTGTAAGTAATGGGTTAACATCAGTAACAATGATTGCTTCTTTAAGTTGGGCTTATGCACCTTCACAGGAGCTGCCATACTTAAACACACCAAGTCCAACTGTCCTCCGATCAATGTCTATCGACACACCACACTAGAACTGTTCACTATTTGGAATGTTCTCTAATAAACCAGTAGATCTTTTTCTCCTTTTTCCTCTTCTCCGGCGCGAGCTTGTCCAAGATCTCGGCCAGCTTTGTCTCGATCTGCTCCTTGGGTAGTCCAGTCCTCTTTGGATTGAGCTTGACCAATAGGTCTTTGGTGGTCATGGGTCTCCTCATGAGGTATCGCTTGACCTCCTCCTCGGTCAAGGGGACATGACTGCACATGGATGTAAACAGAGCAGAGCAAAAAGTATAGAAGGACAGTTTAACATTTACCCCCATGTGAAAAAACGGATGCAAAAAATATTTCCCTTCTTTATTCATAGATGCCAGACAGAATTTATGAAAAATCATCTCCATTTTGTTCCCTTGAAATGCCTGGAAAATGACATGAAAACACTTGCCAGGGCCTAAATTCAGGCTTTAGCTTGAGAACTAGCACCCCTGTTTATCACAGGTTTCATCAAAACATACACATATAATGAGCCTTCAAAAAAGTTGATAATACTTTTATTTACAACTGAATTAGGATCCAGATCTTGTATCCCCAAAGAAATTTCGAAAATGAGTTTTCGTACTTGTGTACTCCGAAACCCTGAACAGTTTTAAAATTAGTACATCCTAGACGGTTTCATATAAACATATTAAATATCACATTATTTCTTCAGATAGAATAAAAATGTCCCTTTTTAGAGGAATTTAGAATAGCAATTTGATGATGAGGGAATGCTTAAGGGAGGCGCAATTCATACCGCCATAATTGAGAAATTCCAAGGCCCACAAGGAAGGGCAAGGTGATAAAAAAGAAAGACAGAATCCAAATGAGTGCCTTATCCTAGTGTCAACTGTTATTAAAGAAAAATATTTTCAAGTGAAAAGTATATATATTTGTTTTGGTATATCAAAGCTATAGCAAACAATGCCTAATTTGTGCCTGTTGGTCCACCATGATCCTCTTTTTCTTATGTTAATTGAGAGCTGAGTTGATGAGATAACCACCTGTCAGTGACCTTGTAAGGGAGGTCTAATTCCCCCCTGGTCAAACTAGTACAGATGGTCTACAAAGGTCCCTTACCCTGATGGTGTCTTGTTTGATGATGATCCAGGGATAGGGCTCTCTGTCCTTGGTCTCTTGGTAACAGGTGAATCGGTGGGGTTCGCCCTCTTCTTGCTCGGCACATCTATTGATAACAATATCAATCATAATGACAAATTACAATGACATAGTAAATCCATGTTACATGATAATGATTATGAGAATGATGGTGATGGTGGTGATGGTGGTGATAATGATAGTGACGATGATGAGAATGATTGTGATAGTGGTGATAATAATGATGATACTGGTGATGAGGATGATGATGGTGAGGGTGAGGATGATAATGATAGTGATGATGATGTTTGTAATTAATGGTGGTGATGATGATGGAGAAAGTGATGATGAGGATGGTAATGATAGTGATGATGATGATGTTTGTAATTAATGGTGATGATGATTAAGATGGTGATGATGATGATGATGATGATGATGATGATACTGGTGATGATAATTATGATGATGATGATAGTGATGGTGATGAGGATGATAATTAATGATATTGATGATGATGATGGAGATGATAATGATAGTGATGATGGTGTTTGTAATGAATGATGATGGTGGTGATGATGAAGATGAGGGTAATGATGGTGATGATGGTGATGGAGATGGTGATGGGGACTAGGATGATGATGAAAGTGACGATTGTGATGATAAAGAATAATTACAAATTTCTAATCGTCTCCTGGTACTCTCAAAGTCCTCTTTTCAAATGCACAATGAATCGGACAATTCTACATACCTTTGTTTTCAAGCTTTGTAGCTGCATCTGATAACGTAGAGTCTGTAACAGCAATGTTGTCTGGTACAGTGGGAGTCTGTGATCTACTGTGGCTTCCACTTCCTGACTTGGAAGGCGTCTTCTCCTTGGACCTTTGACCATGCTTCTTCTGAACACAATACCGAGTTGAAATATAACAAAGAAACAGATCATTATTATACATTCACAATGGTCTATGTCACTATGATACAAGGGGCTTCCTGACTTGGAGGGGGTCTTTTCCTTGGATCTCTGACCATGCTTCTTCTGAACACATTACCAAGTTGAAATATAAGAAAGAAACGGATCATTATTGTATACATTCACTATGGTCACTATGCAGGAGTGAGAGTAAGAACTAAACCCCCCCCCCCCCCCCCCCCTTGAGTAAAAAAAAAAGGATTCAGGAAAAAAAATGGCATCTTACAACATTCCTCCCCTTTTGAGTAAGAAAATTGGAAAAAAATAGGGAAAAATCAGGGAAATAGGGGTAAAATCCTGAAGAAAAAAATAATAATAATAATCGGGAAACCAATTTAAATAGGGTAATTATCAGGCCTGCTATGATACAAGGGGCACTATTAAAGGGGACACTGCTGTGCATCAGGGATAGGGGAACAGGTGAACCGTCTAATACTTGGTGGATGAAATTTGAGAGAACAAGATGACAAAATCGGGAGGATGGCAGGAGTATTACTTCCACTCTCCTTATCTTTCTTTCCTTTTCTCTCTTTGTTTTAGGGTTTGTTTTTTCCCGGGGGGGGGGGGGATAGGCATGAGGTTTGCAGCCAGTGAAATTAAAAACACAACCAAACACTACAATTTGCTTCTTGCTAATTTGGAAACGTACATTTCATAGCTTTAGGATTGTTTTGTTTGCTTAAACAAATATTACATGTACTTCACTCTCCACAATTTTGAGAAAATACTAATCTTACAAAAGTCAATCTAATATCCAAGTATATTAGAAGTGAAATACAGAGAATTTTCCTAAAACACTGAATTTCAAGACTCTTTAGCATTAATAGAACACATTAAGATGATGGTCTTTACGTACCTGAAGGAGCATAGCAGAGTGTATATTCTTCTCGTCAATATCACTGTCTGATCCTGAGCTCTCTGAACTACTCTCTACAGCAATAAGAAATATCAAGAGGTGAGATGATTAAAGGGCAATCCAACCCTTGTAATAAGTTGATTTGTATGAAAGCATAAAAATAAGATAAACAGAATGGCAAAAGTTTGAAATGAACCAGACCAATAGTAAGGACGTTATGAATGTTTGAAATATGAGATCACTTAGTCTATGCGAATCTCAAATTGGTAGTTCGGTCAGTAGATTTTGATGTTATATGTGGATAACTCTCCCATTTGCCGTGTACAAAAATATCATAAATTTCAGTTTTCTCAAATGTTCCTTCTCCCTTGAGAGACCGATGCCAGAAATGATGAGAACAACCAGTGGCATGAACGGCCTGCCGTAGTTCAAGTCCAACTTAAGTCGATCTTACTCTTTGTGAATCACCCCCCAGGTCTAGTAAGATTGAACTTTGAATTTACTGCCTATGAGATCCTGTCACTGGAAAAACTCTTTACAACAGTTTATCTCATCTGGAAGCATGTACATTTCTAGTACAAAAGTTGAGTTTAATAGCAAATGATTTAGAAACAGAGAACACATATCAAGAACTCACCATCACTTTTCTTTTCCTTGCTCTCTTTGGAATCTTTTGGTTTGTCCCCTTCTTTGCTGGCTTCTTTGTTCTCATCTTTTTTTTCTTCCTCTTCTTCGTCCTCTTCATCTTCTAATTGTTGGAGTTCTTGATCCAAACCCTTGATGTCTGTCTTTGCTAACTCCATCTCATCATCATCACTAATGGAGATGAAAGGTAATGAAATAAGAATTTGACCACATGTCTAGTGAGTAATGTTACTTGCACATAGGATTGGTACAAGAGCCATTATCTGGGGAGTGTTTCACAAAGATCCTAAGTGGAACTTATCTCTAAGTTGGACTTAAAAATTATGGAAAGCAGTTGGCATCTAGGAAAAAATATTTTGTAAAAGTTATTTTAAAAGGCATAAAATGTAGATTCAAATCAATCATATTTTCTATCATTGAGGAGATTTCAGGTTCTTGATGTGGAAATTATGATAAGTCTGAAATACTTGAATTTTCGCTTTTGGATATATCTTATTTTAAGGCTACAAATGGCTCTCCATAATGTTTAAGTCCAACTTGGATCTTTGTGAAACACCCCCCAGGTTCCTGAAGGCAATCTGTTCAGTATTTATAATTTCATACAATAGTTGTTTCTCTTTTCTGATTGTTTGTTTGCACATCAGGAGACAACAACCTCCCAGAATGTCTACTGTACCTCAGCCCCCTCACCTAGCTACCCCCTTAACCCTAATGAGACCGGGGGGCATAATGGCCCCCACGTCCAACAAATTTTGTGCTGCGTCTTAACCGCTTAAATTGGCGAATTCATGTTTCATGACTTTCTTTGAAGTCTCCCGCACATTTTGATACCAAATTTGTGCAATTCGGACCAACGGCAGGCGTGTCAAATTGTAATTAGTGCTTAATGTCAATCAACATGTGTATTTTCTCTATATGCTGGTGTTTTAGCCTATGGAAGAATCAATGATCATCTCAAAATCAGTTGATCTTTGACATCAACTCCTATTCCACTAAGTGAGACCTATTTTGGGTTTAATACAACTAAATAAAACATAACATATAAAAAACAAAAGAAAACATTAGACAAAAATCAGTGAAATACAAAGAAAATTGGAAACAATGTACATTAAATTACATTATATGTATATTATTTAGTTTAATTTTTGTTTTTATTGTCATTGTTAATTCTCACATTCTATTTCCTTGACTAACCTAGAATGGTCAAACCATATGATATGTTGATGATGGAAAACAATAGAAAACAAAGGATACAAATCGAAGAAATACATTAAAAATATGAACTAACAATTTTTTATCTCCATCTGTTGGAGTGTTTAAATTTATCAAACAATTAATTTTACAAACATTTCATACTGTAAAACTGCAAAATAGGTATGTTTTGAAAATTTGCATATTACATATGGAATTAATTAATTTCAAAAAGACGAAATGAAATATTGAAAAATAGTATTGTCATGTTGTTCATTATATTTCATTTAATATGCATACCACCAATTTACATCTTCATATCGCCAACCATAGCCAAGATCTTAGGGGGGGGGGTCATAGTGCCCCCCCCCCCTTGTATATTAGAAACCTTTTAACTACTCCAGCCTCAGGGTTAAAAATACCTCAATTATTTGTAATGTAGTAATGTACAGACTTTTAAATGGCGTTATGTAATTGGAGGGTTGGGCAAACAAAGAACTTGAGGTGCATAGCAGCCTACATGCTGTGTGCATACAATACATGTGTGTTTGCTTTGTTCGAGGAGTTCTCTGATATTGTGCCCTGTGATTGTAAGTTGTTTGCTTTGGCTACCGGTATTTGATAGAGAGAGAAGAAAAAGGAGGCAGTTTCAAACTTGAATATTGAATATCATTGAGACTAACCCCGGTAAAAAATACCTTCAAGTATACATCAAATAAATCTGTTTTGGAATTATTGACAACTACCACACGCTTTCAGACTTGTTGTGCTTAGCCCCGTACTTTCCTTAGCCTAGGATTAACTTTTGGTTTTTTTTCACAAACATGAAATACAAGTGCAACTTTGGTACTACTCTGCATAGTAAACAATAAGCACGCACTTTACATGACATTTCTCACCGGTAGTGCTTTACAGGAAATGCATATTCATGAATACGTCGTCTCTGATTGGACAGTGGGTTTCTTTCTTTGCCTCTTGTTATAGATAAAAAGTTTTATGAAATGGACCCCTATTTCTTTCTTATATTTCAACTTGGTAATGTGTTCAGAAGAAGCATGGTCAAAGAGCAAAGGAAAAGACCCTGTATTTGTCCTCATTCATTTGCTTGGCACCGGAAATGCAAAGTTAGCCCTTTTTTTTGCAGGGCCAACAAACCCCATACTTTAGGTGGGGCTAGCCCACTTTGGTAAATTTGTGTCTGAAGAGAAAGTGGGCTAAGCTTAGCCCAGGACTATAGGTGGGGCTAAGACCCATCCTTTAGCCCCGCCTATAGTCCAGGGCTAAGCAAAATTTTACCAGTGTGAAAAGCATATAATTGTCATTAGTCTAGTTGTCCTGGGGGTGTTTCACAAAGATCCTAAGTTGAACTTATCGTAAAGTTGGACTTAAAAATTATGGAAAGCCGTTAGCATCTTGGATAAAGAATGTGTAAATGTTATTTTAAAGGCATATCAAGTTGATTCAAATCATTCATATTTTCTATTACCAAGGAGATTTCATGTTCTTGATGTGGAATTTATGAAAAGTCTAAAATAATTGAATTTTTGCTTTTAAATATATTTATTTTAAGGATACAAATGGCTCTCCATAATGTCCAAGTCCAACTTAGAGTTAAGTTTGACTTAGGATCTTTGTGAACCCCCCCCCCCTTATATTAGATGAAAGATAGATTTTTCTCTGGTTTACACCCACCTGGACTGTTCTGAGATGTAGTCAAACTCCCTGCCATCAAAGTCTCCTTCATCACTTTCTTCCTCAGCTTCACTGTCTGCATCTTTCTTCTTAGGTCTCTTCTTAGCCATCTTCTTCCCCTTGCCTTTACCCTTCTTCTTAGACTTGGATTTCCCTGTAATTCAATTTTAATTTTTTTTTTATCAGACACGCATTAGCATACGATAAAGACCCCCGCCTTACAAAGAGTTGCGATTGATCCAAATTAATCACAAGTTTGCAGTCTCCTATCTCTTATATACATAATTGCGATTGATAAGTTGCGATTGATATCAACTCTTTGTAATATGAGGCCCTGCTTTGGAAATATGATATATTGAGAGCCTGGATAGTGTTACAGATGATCTTAGTTCTGGGAATGACAGGAAAAATATATTTACTGAATCAAACAAAGTTCAAGACAAGAATTCAAGATAAGAAATAAATGAAAAATAGATGTGTAGTACTCATTTGTCTTTCAAATGTCAATTGCAAAGTGGTAAAACTCTACTAATTGAATGTTTTAATGGACTAGCTCCCTCTTATTTAAATGTAGATAAATGCCTTGCCAAAACACATAAGTGCCGTGTTGGGGATCAAACCCATGACCTTTGCATATCAAGTCAAGTGCTAAAACCACTCGACTATGACACCTCTACCTCATTGGGAGGAATACATCCTACCAGGTAACTATGTCCACTGGATTACACAGATTTTATCAGCAGGCAATACCAGCGCACGGTGGACAATACTAATGACCGGTCATTAGTAAAATTGTGTTATAAAACCTCATTTTATAAAACAAATTAAACATCATCTTATAAAAACAAATAATACACATAATTTTCTTCCGGCATTAGTAAAATTACCCACACTCGGTACCTTCAAAACAGTCCAAACACCTTCGGCTACCGCCTCGGGCATGTTAGACTGTTCTACATGTACCTTGTGTGGGTAATTCTTACTACTGCCCTCACTGCTGTGTATTATTTGTATACTAAGTACCTAGGTACCATGAAGAAGATCAGACTTACCCCCTCCATCCTCATCATCACTATCCTCTATCTCCTCCCCTGATGATAAGAAGTAATCATCCTCCGTTATGGTCTGCAAATATGGAGAGCAAATCAGAAATTTTTTAAACAGAATTTTTACAAATGAAATATATCTGCTTGATACAGGGTGATGGTGAGCACTAAAAAAAAAGGGGGGGGGGGTTTCCTCCTCATCCACCCCCCCCAAAAAAAAATGACATCTTACAACATTCCCCCTCCCCCTTTTGAGTAAAAAATTGGGGAAAAATTGGGAAAAATAGGGTTACAATTGGGAAGAACTTGGAAAAGAAAATCGGGAAAAAATTATTGTTAAAAAAAAAATAGGGAAAAATAAAATCAAGAAAAAAAATTAAAATTGGGTAATTATCAGGCCTGCTGATATGAAACTTTCCCTGCTCATGACGAAAACTCATCGTTAAAAATTGAAACCCCCATTTGACTTTCACTACTCCTAGAGCTAAGCCTAAAGTAAACACTAGCGCTAGACAATGTAATCCCCCTGCAGAGACCTTGGCGAGGTGATAGAGAGAGAGAGAGAGAGAGAGAAGCATGATAGAGGAAGAGAGGAAGGGAGAAAGAGTGATTGTTGTTATATCGCCAATTCTGGATCATTTTGCTTCGTTTGAACTTTCATTATGGTCTTCATCTAAATTATAAGTGACTTTTGGACATGAAAATATCTTAAAACAAGTAAAATTGGTTCAAACAACCAATCTACTGCAGGAAAAACAATCCAGAATATATCATGGCAATTTCCCCTCAAAATCTGTCAAATTTTTCAAGAGAAATCAAGAGAAACGAAATTGGGGTAGGGATACCCCACCTGATTTACATTGGTTCCTGTGTTATAGTGGTGGGGTATAGTTATAACGAAAGCTTTTCATAATGCTTTTGTTAGTATATAGATACATATAAATCAAGAAATACTCTTGGAGCAGTATTTTTTCCTCTCTTTTACTTTTTCCATCCCCCTTCCCCTTTTATTCCAACTGATGGAGGAGAAGGGGGCACATTGCCCCAATAGCAATGCCAATGAAAACAATAAAGGCACTTGATGAAGAAGGATCTACTGGTATGATATTTCATACATTTGTGATCATGGGGGTGTTTCTCAAAGATTCTAAAGTCGAACTTAACTCTAAGTTGGACTTAAAGAAAGCCATTTGTAGCCTACTAATGAAATATATTCAAAAGCAAAAATTCAAGTATTTTAGAGTTTTCATAAATTCCACATCAAGAAAATGAAATCTCCTATGATAATAGAAAATATGAATGTTTTCTTTTAATCAACATTTTCAAGTATGCTAACGACTTTCCATATTTGTTAAGTCCAACTTAGAGATAAGTTCAACTGAGGATCTTTGTGAAACACCCGCCTGGTTATTAGAAAAATAATATTTGAAAAATTCAGAAAGAAATGTAACAATACATCAATTAATCTTACTAGATCTGAGCCTTTTGATTTTGATGTCTTTTCCTCAACATCTTCTTCATCTTGTTTCTTGAGTTTCTTCTGCACCATGACTGAGAAATAATTCATTGTCTTGTCTCTCCTGTTGTCAAACACACAAAGTTATTAAACACATACATAAAAGTACACAAATATATCAGCATCTAATTTATGACAATCATATTTCCCAAGGACTATAAAGACATGGAACAACCTACAACAAGCAACTATCAACCAAACCTCCCCGCTTTTATTTAAAATGCAGTTACTAAAGACCTTTTTTCCAAAATGTTATCGTTCCACCCTCCACCACCTCCAGTCAAAACTCTTCTTCGGAGTATTTAGGAGGAAAAGAATCCAAGATCCAAGACAAATACAACAATTATTTTATGTGGTGCTTAATAAACAGCTGATTGAGAACATATCAGAATGGGACAGGAAAGGGAAAAGGGTTACATGATTTGATATTATTTAAATATATTTGTGGCTTACACCCAGTAAATAAGATCGATTCTCAATTTAGTGTTCAAGGGTTACTGTACAGTAGATTACTGTATTTCTATGAATGTTCTAAAACCCATCATAAGGCAATGCTCTGAGGTCAATTTTCTTCATTAACCAAATTTCTAACTTCACCCCTGGACCAAATGTTACACATACCTGTACATAACCCTAATATATCAGCCACTGACCTGATCCACTCCAAAAAAAGATGGACGCTTAGCAATTAAGGGTAATGTACATTGTAATGTTATTTTTGGTCTGTTATTGGTCTGATGGTTCATTTGTCTGGCTGGGCTGCAGTGGCGTAATGGAACAAATAAAATTGGGGGGGGGCAGAATGGGCAAAAGTGAGAAGAAAAAAACCTAGCAAATCATGTCATTTCAGCTACATTTGTTAGAAATAAACCATGTTTGAAGTTTATTTTATAGTACGCCAGTGCTGGGCTGTAAAAATAACCGACACCTATACAAAACCTAAAAATGAAGCCCTAACCCAATCACATCTCTTTGATGAAATAAAGTTCAAATCTCGCTGGAGCAAATGCTTTGATCAGAATGTTAAATGTACCTGCCAAACTCCTCCTCCGCTTCTTCTGCATTCAAAGTCTTATAGGTCTGCATTGCTATGAAGTTATACCAGGAGTCTACCGGGTACGCCTCAAACGTCCCATCGGCTAGCTGAGAGAGGATGAAGTAGCTTGAGTTCTCATTTATCTTTCCCTCCTTCCTTCCACGATACCTGCATCAAAATTTAAGACTTTAGAAGGCGGTGCGGAGACAAGAGTTTTAGAATATTGAAAATCAGGGCCCTGTGTTGATATCAATCGCAACTATGTACATAAGAGAGAGGGGACTGAAAACTTGCAATTGATTGGAGGACTTCCGATTGATTTGGATCAATCGCAACTCGTAATAATAACTAAGAAATTGAAAGTTTAAGAAATGTTCTGTACAGAGCAAATTGGAGAGAAGATATGTCACAACGTTGCCAATTTGTGTTTTAATGATGACAACTCCAAAAATTCACTCATTTGTTTGTCTCGTCTTTCTGCTTTTATTAAAACCAATTAAATATCAGGGTGGACTTCCCCTTTAATTGCTGTTGTCTCATTTAACCTACCATTCACCCCTTTAATCCCCTGATAAATGCAGCACATTTAAAAATGTAATTGACTTTCATATAAGCATTTATATTAGGATAAAATAACATTTCCTTCTTTGCAGAAAACTATCAATAAGAAGAAGAAAATCATACTTCATTTTAGGACCTAATAAGAAGAAGATAAAGAAGAAGAAATTATCTTTTTAGGAGATAATATCATCAATAACCCATGCATGTATTTAATCCAATATGGCACTGTTTATGATGCAAAAGTAAAAATGGAGTTCAGAAAATGTACAGATCTGCTTTAATACTTTTTAGCTGTCTTGCCATCAGCGCCTCCCTGTTTAAGAATCCAAGGCTGGTCTTCTTCTTTGTACTTCTGGGCGATGACCCCGTACTTCTTCTGCCTTGCTACCTCTCTCCTCTCTCGGCCAAATTCACTCCCCTCCCCAAACTTTGGAAGGTCGTCCAGCTCCGTCTTGTAGTGAATCTTGTTGTTTTCTCTCTCCATCTTTGCCTGGTTAATAATAATAATAGGCATTTCTATCGTGCCGTCTATCTAGAAATTCTATTCAGGCGCATTTATTATTACCCCGGCTTTAGCCTAGCCGCCATTACAGAGCTCTAGCATTTCAAGGAATTAATTCCTGCAAGGTACCCATTTACATCACCTGGGTTGAGTGTGGTAAATGTAGATTAATGCAGTTTGAAGGTGAAAGGATGGATGGTTAGGACTGAATAGTACATGGATTTGTCAATGAAGATCTACGCAGCCCTTGCAAACCAACACACTTTGACTATTCAATATGTAAGCATGTAAACACAATTTATAAATATGTCTGTCACATTGACAAAGAAAGAAAATGTGGGAGAGAGAGAGAGGGAGAGAGAAAGAAAGAGAGGGGGGGTGGTAGAAAGATTGGATCAGAAGATGAGCGGATAGAAAGATCATTACTATTGTACTCTGTGACAAAGAGTGCCAACAACAACCCCTCCTACCCCCAAAAGGTTATTATTCTGTTCACCACTGTTATCAGTTCAATTCAAGTTCATTCTTTATATCGTGAATACAGGGATGTGCTTTATAAAAGCACAATGGTGCTAATATTCCATGAATAATACTATTTTCTGAATGAGGATTATCAAATTATAAAATGGTTTGGAAACGATGATTGATACAACACTACGGGTACTCTATTAAACCCATCATAAATACCTGCTTCCATTTAGAGAGGTTAACATTGTCATTTCTGTTGAATTGCATCACACTGTATTTCTTCCTCTGGTTCCTACCATGAAAAGAATGAAAGATGATAATTAGATTGATTGATTGATTGATTGATTGATTTTATTCCATTTCATACATCAATTGTTTGCAAAATAACAACAGTTGACAAAGTAAGATCAAAATTATGAAATGAAACAGGAACCTACTGGAAAGCATAGCTTTTTTTTTGTAGGTTCCCAAGAATAAATATAATACCTTGGAAATATACCTTGGAAGTAGGCATTTAAAGTTAAAAACTTATTTGCCTCTCGTTGACATTCGGATGAAGAATCCATATTTTGACACATGTTTAGTGGCGCTATACAGCAATTGACGAACATGGACAAGCGAAGAACTCCTCTGGGAGTAATATGAACGTTATTTTCATAAATCATTTTAAAGTGTCTTAATAATCACAGTAAAATAGATATAATATAATAACATTTTCATAAACCTTTTTAAAGTATCTAAATAATCAAAATATACAAAAAGACCAGAATTACAAAACGGGCCACAAAGGTCAGGAAACTGACATAATAAGATAAGACAAGACATGACAAAGCAATTTATAACAGGACAAGATAAACAAGACATGACAGGACAAAACAAAACAAGACAAGAACAAAGCTGAAGAACAAAGATAGTGAAGGAGTGGGGAGGGGATGATTCTTCAATACTTAATGTTTTTTCTACATACAACACCAACAATTATCATTCAACTTTGCTTCAGAAGTTAGAAATGCTACAGGATTATTTTTTTGTTTCTTTAATGATTTTGTTCACCCCCATTTTGGATAACTTTTGACCATATACAGTTGGAACTAACATCAGACGACCTTTTGAGGTTAGAACTTATCTCATACAGGTTATTTCTATCTTAAATAAATGTATACAAAGAGACATGAATAATGATAATATTGGGGTTGTGGTTCCAAACAGCTTGCTGTGGATATGTCCGAACAACACTTTCAAATAAATGAAGTGATGTCAAAATTTGGGATTTGTTATTGTTTTTATAATAAGTTTGTTTGCCTTCTTGCACTATTCACATTTCATAGTAAGTTATGGGTGACAACGCAGGCATTTTGTAAAATTCTAAAAGATAGTTGAAGAATTGCTGCAAATGACCAAACAATGGAGTGACAAATAATTGATTTAGGGGTCGGGTTATTCCTATGTTGTACAAAATCATAAAAATGTAAAACTAGCTGAAAAGACTTGATGGTATTAAAACATGTAGCATACATACTATATAAGATAAGAATAAAAAGGTCCTGCTTGAGGTGCTCAAGAATACTTACTGAGGGAATCTGAAATCAAATTCCTTCACATCCCCAGGATTGGGTCTGGGAGTGGATGATAAAGATGATGTGCTCTGCAGAAACGAAAAGAAAAGTTTATATTAGTGGTGGTTGTTATTTTTTGTTTTTTACCTGACTGCTAAGAAAGCATAAATGCTTGTGAGTAAGCAACCAAACGGCCGACGGCTTTAGGTCCTCTCCGAGGGACCTGGTAATGAGGATTAATGTCTTACCAAAGGGCACTAGTGCATCGCCTTGGTTTCGAACCCGGGTCACCGGATTACGAAACCACTGCTCTACAGACTGAGCTATCGCGCCTCCTCGATATTGTAGAAGATCATAAAGAGAATGAAAGAGTGCCATAACAGCAGCAGCAGCAATGCTAAAGCTGGGGTGACAAGACTGGACTGGAGGGCCAGTGCTTTTTTTTTTATAAATTTATATCAATAACATGTTCAAATTATTATTATTTAGCTTCTGAAATTGTTGCATTTGATAGGCTGTGAGTGATAATTGGACTTGTTTCTAACAAACATTTGAATGAAACAGGACCCCTGCAGCTTCAGACATGACAAGGGCGCTATCTATAATTGAAATTAATAAAAGCATCGTTTAACAATGTTAAATCTGTGATGCACAGCCCTACATGTTATCAGTGTCTGTGATGGTGTAATATTGAAGCCCTAAACAAATTGCGCTTCAAAATGATCAAGAAGTGCCTCAAAAAAGTAAAAATCTTTGAGTGACCGGTTTTACCATACTCGTTTTCCCCAATAGACCATATTGTTATGAAAACCGTTAGGAAAACACAAAATTTGGTTTCGATTTACAATCATACATGTAAATATCTTGATAATCAGACAGGCGATCGGCTTGTAAAAGTCATGGGGTTCCTGACTCACCTAAAGGTTTATAATTATCATTGCAGCATGAGCTAAATCCAGGATTTTGTTTCAGAATCTGAGACAAAGTTACTGGATCCCTCTAATACAATCACATGGTAATAAACACGGGATAATGATATGATGGCAGGGCCATCAAGGAGAACAGTATGATTACTGATGAGGCTACCCTGGGAAAACAAGACATATCATTATCATTATTATTATTATAAAACAGCAAACAAACTTTCTATTTGTTTGCTGTTTATGTGATGTACTATTGATTTGCTGTAAATGCTACAATATTTACATGTACTTAGGATATGAATAAGCATCCACAAATCTATAGTTCGCACACAAAACAAAAGTCATCAAAATCCTTAAAGGCATGACCTGTAAATTACTACCTGGTATGCAATGCACACAAAAATAAAGTCTGTAAACATAAATCATGTAATTCCAGGCACTAACTAAAGCACACAAGTCATAACAGATGGCATCACTTTGAATAAACAGAGATTACTCATATCTGTCATTCAGTGTGACTGATCACGTTTTATCGGCTGGAGTTCAAGGACATCTAAGCAGCATTCTAAAGGCGGTATCTCACTGAGCGGCGAATGCTTACGAACGCTACAAATTCTGGCAGATGGAGACTATAAGCAAATGTTAGCGACAGTATTTGCCAATCCTTTGCCACTATTTGTGAATGTTTGGGACCTTTTATGGACCCTGGCAAAACTCCAAATTTGCAAGCATTCGCGGCTCAGTGAGATACCCCCTTAGGCACAAAAATCAGAAAAGTCAGCAAAATAAACAAAAGTACAAAGCTTGTCAAAAATCACATTATTCATGTACATGAACTGGACTGTCAATGTACAGTGAAAAGTACAAGCTTGAATTCATTACAAGATTTTGAATAGCTAGACAGTTTGTATAGGTAAAATACATGTATTATTAATGGACCCTCATTGAAATTCCATAAAAAGCTGCAGTAATGCATGAATGTATGTGTGTTTTATAAGTCTACTGTCTACATTGTTTACATATCACCAATATTTAGGGGAAAAATAACTTTTTCTGAAGACAAGCCTGAAGACATGCCACAAGGTGACTGATTGAAAGAGACTTTTTTTAACACTGACTACCTCAGTCAGAAGGTATGTCTTCATCATGGCTCGCTATTTCTGATTTGGGAAATAAGCACGAAGTTACAAATTGCGTCATCATCAGCTTGAGACTCGACCTCGACCTCGAAACTCAAGAAATAAGCTCAAAATATTTTGCACAGCGTTCGCGCATAGTGCGAGTCTTCGGTCTGGTGAAGATGAGCAGACAAATAGCTGGATATCAATGACCACTATTCAGAAAGTCAAAATTTTAAAGAATATCAACAAACAATGCCATGATTTCATATTGAGATGGAATTACTTGTGATATGATATCATTGAAAAAATTGATTGAAAAAGATATTCAAATGTGGCTGTGCTCCAATATGCCTCCATCTATGTTTGATTGATCCCTTGACCTTTAAAGGTACTATGTCCCTTTTGCAGCCAACCTCAAATTCTGTAGAACTTTGCAGGTATTATGAATATGTCACACATGTCCTCTCTGTGAAATTTAAACATTAGCAGTGTCCTAATATTCAAATTATGCAAGGAAACCCGTTTACTTGCTAGACTTCACTGTCAGACACTATTGCGTGAATGACTGGCTTTTTTCTTCTTCTTTGGTAATAACATACATAAAATGAGCTGTAAATGGTACATGAGCATTTGTCTACATCAATAACCCACTTCTTGTAATGGCCAAAATTAAACTGATTGAATTTTTGCGCAGCATAAAATGTACAACCATTCAGTACAATGGTCTGAAAAATCAGACTACCTATTACTTACTGGCTCTATAGCTCCTAAGTCGATTCAACATCTAATAATCATTATTTTCCCACTTAAAGACATTTTCAAATTTCAAGCCCCATTTTCTTAGGGAAGTTCTAAATTAATTTTATCTTTCAAATGCCGTCAAAATTTAACCTTTTCATTTTTTTGGCTTGCAAATGGGACATAAACTGTACCTAGTACCTTTAATATTCTTGCCAAATGGCTCGCTATTTCTGATTTGGGAAATAAGCACGAAGTTACAAATTGCGTCATCATCAGCTTGAGACTCGACCTCGACCTCGAAACTCAAGAAATAAGCTCAAAATATTTTGCACAGCGTTCGCGCATAGTGCGAGTCTTCGGTCTGGTGAAGATGAGCAGACAAATAGCGGGATATTTTGCAAACTAGCCCAAGATATCTTGGAATGATTATCTCGACCAAATATCCCGCTAATTGTAACTGCGGGCTGATGAAGACGCAAATTAGCTGGGTAATTTGCGATCAGGATAGTTAAAAAAGCGGGTTATTTGGCAATCTCGAGCTGATGATGACAGGCTTAGAGAACTTCAATTATCTTATCATTTCCTCAAATCTAATCCCTCTCCAGCATATCAAACTCATATTGCCACTTGATAACAATTTCTTTTTAGCACACACACACATGTACATGTTACTGATAGGCTGTCAGGTTTCTAATTTCCTTACTGTATTGTGCTGAAAAGAGGACAAAGAAGTATTTTTAAACATGTCAAAAACTGTCAGACTGTCAACCAATTCAAAACATACAACCATGCGGTACAATGGTCTGAAAATCAAGACTATTACTTATAGGCTCTTTAGCTCCTAAGTCGATTTTACAACTAATAGTCATTATTTTCCCACTTATAGACATTTTCAAGCCCCCTATTTTTAAGGGGAGATCTAAATTAGTATTATCTTTCAAATGCCATTGGAATTTAACCTTTTCATTTTTTTGGCCTGCAAATGGGACATTTATCTTTAAAGCAAACCATGTGAATGTTTCACTCTACAGCTCTCTTCCATGCCTAGCGCAAGAATGTTGTCAACTCTTTAAAAAAAAAACAGAGAGAAAATCCTTTGTGCACTATAGGATTAGGAAGTATCATATTGCATGGAATGACAAGTCAACAAGGGTGTCATAATTCTTCAATTCCTCACAGTTCAGAGTATCTGGTTTCTTGTTTCCCTGATTTTCAGAGCTCCAATTAAATGCACAAGTCCCTATAAGGATTCTGCAAAAACCTTCATGCAACACTTCATAACCATTCAAGTGCTACTGAAACAAACTTCTATCAAGGAACATTTTTTAAATCGTTGATAGTACAATTCATGCTATCTTTCATCATCATTACATTTTAGACTGAACTTGTGATCAAAATTTTTGTTTTCCATCAGAGATGGATTTCTACCATAAGGAATATACTTTTTTGATAAGCATCTTAAGAGAGGTAAGCGAACATTATTTATGTAATGTTTTGGGTTTTAATTTGGCCTGCAAAATTACCCCCCCCCCCCCCCCCCCTCCCCAGAAAGAAGAAAAATCACCTCTGAGCCACAAAGTTTTAGTATTTAACTATGTTTCATTTTTCATCATCTTGATAAAAAAAACTACATGTATGATCATTTCCAATTTAACAAAAAAAATACCCCCATCCCCCCAAAAAGGTATCTGCTCCCCCCCCCCCCCCCCCCCCACCTCCAGAAAATAATATTTATTTGACAAGCTGTAAAGATACAAATTTGATCAAATATGGGAGTACTGTTTTTAGTTGAGAAGAAAAGCAGATTAATAATGGGCACTGAAAGGGCTAAAGACCTTAATAAATCCATTCTTTCTAATTAATTATTATTCATTTTTGTTGGAGTTTGGTCTAATCCCCCAACCCACCATAGTTTGATTGGTCTAGTGAAACCCCTAAATGATGATGATTATCAAAGAGCCACAATGTCACATTATCATAATAAGAGAGAATGCTACACTTTCAAACTATTTTGAGATACTGTCTTACATTTACTCATGCTCATAAAAGTATGTTCCTCATTTCCTTTTAATTTGTCTTAGAATAAACAATAAACAGTCTTCAAAGTCTGAAAGGGAAATTCAACCTTAATAACAAACAACTATACCCTAGCTTTAACTCATATACAATTATACATTGTAACTGACATTTCTCAAACATAAATTATTTAATACAAATGCTAATACATTCACTGGAATGACTGGATATCAATGACCACTATCAGAAAGTCAAAATTTTAAAGAATTTCAAGAAACAATGCCATGATTTCATATTGAGATGGAATTTCTTGTGATATGATATCATTGAAAAAATTGATTGAAAAAGATATTCAAATGTGGCTGTGCTCCAATATGCCTCCATCTATGTTCGATTGATCCCTTGACCTTTAAAGGTACTATGTCCCTTTTGCAGCCAACCTCAAATTCTGTAGAACTTTGCAGGTACAGTATTATGAATATGTCACACATGTCCTCTCTGTGAAATTTAAACATTAGCAGTGTCCTAATATTCAAATTATGCAAGGAAACCCGTTTACTTGCTAGACTTCACTGTCAGACACTATTGCGTGAATGACTGGCTTTTTTCTTCTTCTTTGGTAATAACATACATAAAATGAGCTGTAAATGGTACATGAGCATTTGTCTACATCAATAACCCACTTCTTGTAATGGCCAAAATTAAACTGATTGAATTTTTGCGCAGCATAAAATGTACAACCATTCAGTACAATGGTCTGAAAATCAGACTACCTATTACTTACTGGCTCTATAGCTCCTAAGTCGATTCAACATCTAATAGTCATTATTTTCCCACTTAAAGACATTTTCAAGCCCCATTTTCTTAGGGAAGTTCTAAATTAGTATTACATTTCAAATGCCGTCAAAATTTAACCTTTTCATTTTTTTGGCTTGCAAATGGGACATACATGTAAACTGTACCTAGTACCTTTAATATTCTACCTCATGAACAAAAACTTGTTCCAATGATTTTCTGTTTCATGCTCAAGGAGTTGATCCAAGCTTGGTTAAAATTAATATGCTTCAATGGTTTTGACGTCACAATGGTAACAAGATATTTTCTGTGATTTTTAAACAAAACTTTTACTCACCTGACTAGTTACATGCAAATCTATAATCAGTTCATTCTTTTCCTTTATTGCAAATTGAACCCAGTTTGATAAAAAGCTATTTAATGGATCGCAAGTTGTTACAGAACCAAACAGTGGGACAGATATTGGAAAGACAGGCAAACAAACAGATGGACATACACCATAAAACATTATGAATCTTGCACAACAGTGGCAAAGACATAACAAAACACATACTGAGACACCATTAAATTAGAACTTTTATCTGGTCTGATTTAGACTTCTTGTAAATGTATTTTCAAACTACCAGTCACTCAATCAGTGACATAACTATAAGGGGGGGGCAAAAATAGAACAAAAATAAAAAGAAAGGAACATCAAGATAAGGGGCAAATACAAATGAAGAGAAAAGGGGGAAAAGGATGAGAAAAGAAGACATTTGGACCAGCTTATACAAAGTTCTGCCCCTTAAAAGTGCTATGTCCCATTTGCAGGCCAAAAAAATGAAAAGGTTAAATTCCAACGCCAATTGAAAGATAATACTAATTTAGAACTTCCCTAAAAAGATGGGGGGCTTGAAAATGTCTTTAAGTGAGAAAATTAGCAAATAATTACCGTCGGTGAAGGTGATGGGACAAAACATCACTTCTGAGGCGATCTGGATGTAGCTATCTTTCCGAAGCAAGCTGAGGAAGAATAGCGTATACATTCAGATCGCCGAGGAAGTGATAGTTTGCCATCGCCTGAATCCAAAAGAAGATTATTTGCTTTATATTCCACAACAGAAACATTTCACTTCTTCCATCATTTTAGAGCAACAAGTCATCAATTAACAGCTAGCAAATGGTGTACGATACGTACAGTGCATGGAGTATGGTGGTGTGTCTATATCGTTCGTGCGTGAACAAAGTTCGCGTACTAACACCAAATGCGCTTAAAAAGGAGAGCAATACGCAAAGTATAGAATTAAAGTGCATTGCACTGTGTAGATAGATAGTACTACTATCTATACAGTGCAACAAACTTTTCTTCTCCCATCAATGATGTGCGAACTTTCCTTCATCACGTGGTTTACTTTTGACCAATTGTAGAGCAAGATTCTTAGTATGTGGAATATTATAACGACTATCAGTTGTCGAATCGACTTAAGAGCTATAGAGCCAGTAAGTAATAGTCTGATCTGCAGACCATTAAACCGAATGGTCATACGTTTTATGCTGCGTAAAGATTCAATCAGTTTAATTTGGGCCATTATAAGAAGTGTGTTATTGATGTAGACAAATGCTCATGTACAATTGAAGCTCATTTTATGTATGTTATTACCAAAGAAGAAAAAAAGCCAGTCAGTCACTCAATAGTGTCTGACAGTGAAGTCTAGCAAGTAAATGAGTTTCCATGCATAATTTGAATATTAGGACACTAATAACGTTTTAATTTCACAGATAGGACATACATGACATATTCATAATTCCTGCAAAGTTCTACAGAATTTGATGTTGGCTGCAAAAGGGACATACTATCTTTAAGGATAAGGTTTGAGAGCTGGTAACGAAAGAAAAAAAATTCTCACAGAATCCAACAAAACTTACACTAAATATTCAAGATTATAAATAAATGACACATTCCAAACAATTTCAGTAGAAATGTAGGCATGGCATGTAGGGGCTGAGTATTGAGCATAGAAATATTTATAAGGAAATCAAGATAATGGGGCTTTCACATATACACTCTGGGGCCCGTACGGCAAGTAAAAACAGACATTTTGGGACTTTTCGGCCAGTATCCGGCTGTCTGCCGTAAGGTTCCTAGAGGCGTCTGAACAATTTTTTAAGCCGTACGGGCGCCGTGGTGCCGAGTTGGCTGCTCCCAATTCTCCCGGCGCTTTTAACCGACCGTTAGGCCGTAGAAAGCCCGTAATGCGGACTCCGGACAGGCCCCTCACAATTTGTTGTTGTTGTCAATTCTCATGAAAAATCTTTACAGACGACTTGCGGTGCTCAAGGGTTCCGTACATGCCCCTCATGAGCCCCGGGTGATATGACTAACAAGAGGCATGTGTCGTCCGGGGTCATTTGAAATGAATATTGCCCGTGCGGGTCCCTCACAGCGGCGTCTCAAATTGTACAACGCAGCTTTAAATACAGGAGGTGGGGATGCCAGAGGACACATAGTTCAGTCAAGTATTTTACAGGTTTAAAAGTTTAAAAAGTTGATTCCTTGCCTCACACATACATGCAGTGATAGAGGACAATGAGACAGAAATAACCGTCTGGTATGTGTCTGGGTCTGGTACTGGTATTGACAACAAGCTGTGGAGTGAATGTACTTTCGTGCGAAGTTTTAAACTTAATCATGGACTTTGTCCGGACAATGACACCCCCATTCCCTCGGGCCTGTCAAATTATGAACGTAATTTTGCGACATGAAATATGATTGTTTTTAGGCTCTTACGGATGGATTGGCGTAGGAGCTCGCCAGGCCGAAAACTAGTACTGTGGTGATCGGATATTGGAATCTGAATTAGACAGAGATATCGTGTGTGCGTTGCGGTGTGCGGCTGCATTGATTTAATACATGCGATGAGATACTTTTGAGCTTGCGACTAGCACAAAATCGGGCTCTAAATCTGAAAAATACAGTCTTACAGACACGCGTAAGATACTCGATTTTTCAGATTCGGGTAGCGGGACCGCCGATTACATCGCTAAAATGTGATATTTTAGGATATATTTTTCATTGCAAATGTGGTTCTTCAGTGACACTGGCATGTGGTATGGTATGTGTGGGATATGTGTTATGCTATTATGCGATGTATTTTAGAGTGATTTTACCTTGCATCCAACCAATCGGCCGAAAACTGGAGTGGAGCTGGCCGATTACCGGCTCCTTTACTCTAGCGTCATCGATTATCACTAAACTTCTGATTTTGAGTAAAATTAGTTGAGTTTTGTACAGTGGTGTCTGAAATGTTGAGAATAAAGAGTACAGCTTCTAATACACAGCCAGGAAAGTAATGCACCTTTGTGTGGCTAAGTGTAGATACATTGTATATGTTTTGCCGTAGGCGTAGCACGATCGCGACCGTCTACGTCTGGGACTGAAGCATTCGGTCTAGACCAGGCCAGGCCAGGGCATTACACACATTTCAAGGTGCGGGACTGCGTTAACCCAGATTGCTCAAAACATAAATTATTATTCAAGTTTTTGTAATATATAGGGACTGTAAATTTCCTTACCGGTTGTTGACTCATGACGGCCTAACGTATACGGTAGCTCTGAGAGAATCATGCAATTTTGCAAGGAGGATGGATCATTGAGTTCTCGATTTTCAATTTGGTCGACGATTCGAGCGTCCGTGCACCTGTACTGTACGTGAATCCTAACACCGCGCGTACCGAACTGTGTATGTGTGTGCGCGAGGAGCCGCGATCGAGCCGCGCCATCAACAAAAAGAGGTGAAAATCACTATTTGTCAAGGAAAATTTGCCCGGGAATTCTGTTTCTCATTAAAATATTACAAACAAAATTTCGCAGGCGCAGAATATATGAAGTTGACACATACTGTTAGTAAAACCAATCTCAAAGTCAAACCAATCCGGAGTTGGGATGGGTGCGGGAGGGGGGGGGGGGGGGGGGGTGCCATATCCAGCAACAAAGTATAGCGTTTAATAAATAATTGTATTTGTTCAAACATTTTGTTTCGTTGTTATATACATATACACTGCATCCTAGAAGTCCAAGAAATTACTTTTTTTAATTTCTTTTGAGAGATCGGTCGCTACCTTCCTTTATATAGTTTATGGTCGCGACACAATGTTTCCGTATTTCTTTTTCATGAAAGGTTGATTTTCGCACCCTTTTCCAAAACAGATCTTGTGCGATCTAGTACTCATGGGTGTGCCGCTTTAATTCCGGGGGACATACGCGTGGATGTGCCGCTCTAATGGGTAAATTTTCACAAAAAATCCGTAAACACGGGTTCCACTTTTAAAGGTAAAGACCAGTATTGGAAACGCCCCAATTTCAAAAAATGAAATGGAAGCTCCCATTACCAATCATGTGAAAGAATATGTTTTGAATAATACATGATGATAAAAAATTTGCCGGGAAACCGCCTAATAATTCATAACTTTGGTAAATTTGTTTCTCTCATGGTCTGTGAGAGATATAGGGTAGTCCCATATACATTTTTCTGTGTATAGTGCTTGTAACTTTACGAAGAATGGGCCAAATTTCTTATCATTTTGATGATTCCAGAACCTTGCAGATGCTAGATGCTAGATGATCAACCTTTTCTGATCGATTTCACAACGTTTCTTTCACAATGCAATCGCATGACCATAACTGGTCTTTACCTTTAACAAAAATATAATTTTAAATGGGTCCGTTTTTTTTAAATTTCGAGTTTTGGGAACACCCAAAAATTGTGAAATATTGGTCTTATTCGAGAAAAACGACTTAAAATGGCCTCTAATAATGGGTAGGGGTTTCGAGGCTTGAGCGGCACTAAACATGGGTCCCATTTTTAATTAAAATACCCGGCCTAAACATGGGTCCGTTTTTTCAAAATTTCAAAAATTTTATTTTCCCCGGGTGTTTGCATATACCCGAAAATTTCAAAAAAATGGGCTTTACTTCGAGGAACATACCCCTCAAATGACCCTTATAATTGGGTAGGGGTTTCGAGGCTTCAGCGGCACACCTGCGTCCAAATCAAATCTGAGTACAACCTCACCCCCCCCCCCCCTCTCTCTCTCTCTCTCTCTCTCTCTTTCACAGGTAAAAGGTCGTTTTTCCGAAGGTTCGTATTTCTGAAGGTTCATAATTCCGTAGCTCCGAAAATGAAAGAGGGTTCATAATTCCGAAAATGAAAAAGGGTTCATAATTCCAAAAATGAAAAAAAGCTTTCTATACAACCGAACACTAAAAGGAATTCAGAAGGCCGAGACATGCAGCCCAGCCCCATGGAGTGGTGCTTCTGGGATGTGTCTCTATAGCTTGTCAGAGGGGAGGAATATATTGTTCAGGGGCGGATCTAGCTTTTCGCCAAGAGGGGGGGGGGGGGGGTTGACCCAATCATCTTCCACGAAGCGCGAAGCGGCGAGGCAATATTTTTTTTTTTTTTTTTTTTTTTTTTTTTTGGGGGGGGGGGGCTATTTTGAACCCTCGTAAGAGATGTTTTCCTGTCATCTAGGCCTACTAACATCAGTGGCGGATCCAGGAATTTCTAACCGGTGGGCACAAAATCGCATGGGGGTGAAATATATGAAAAACGATGGAGCGAGGCGTCAGCGGCAAGGGAGCTGAGCGACCTAGCGGGGGATGGGTTTGGGAGGGGGTCACAACCCCCTCTCCGATTAGGAACCCAATAAACAAAATCACGTGAAAATCACGTCAATATCAAGGTATCGACTTGAGGAGAGTTACGTTCTTCAAACACCGGACATTTACGTAAATGTGTTAATACGTTTATTGCACTAGGTCACTTAAAACACACGTACACTAAATCACGCAATTGTCACTGCAATATCACCATTATAATAACGTGATTATCCCTACCTTTTAGACCATGGTTTGGAAACCTAATACTCCAGTGTTTTGGGGGTTATGAAATTACATCTTCATAAACGAAATTATCGCGTCACAGAAACACGTGAAGCGTTAGTGATAGTTTTAGTCAAAATACCTGCGTGAAATTCACGTGAATATTACGTCGAAGAGGAAATATATTACTGTAACCCGCGTTCAACCCAATAATTACGCAAATGTTACACAATAAATAAACCAAAATAATGACGTTCTCATCCCGTTTCTGAACATCGTGTTTTGGATCTTCCATAATTACGTCCAGGCGCGCCGGAAGCAGTTTGGGATTAGAGGGGCCGGTGGGGGGGGGGGGGGGTCGGGGGTGGTTGCAAACATCCCAGAGGAGAAAGCTAGTTGCAACTGGTCCAGTTGATTGACCAGTTAATGCCAACTGGTAACTTCGGAAATTGAAATAGGCTAAATGATCCAGTTGGTCCAGACCAGTTAGAATTCAACTGGTCTAGCTGAGCCATTAGAACCATTTGGTAAAACTTCCAACCAGTTGAACGGCAACAACACTTCAATACTGGTACGTCTGTATTTCCAATGTAAAGGCATTGGTATAATAAGTAGACTTACATGATTTAATTAATAGAAATTTTTTCATATACTTGTATTTTATTGAAATTATTTTAGTTCTAGTTAATGTTTTCCTTATTCATGTTTAATTAAATGTAATTTATACGAAGTAGCGAAATGTCCTAATAACTGGTAATTTATATTTGTAGTATTTTCGAAATGATTTGCATATAACTAAATCATCAGTAATTAAGAAATATGCTGTAAATTCAGATAAACTGTTTAAAAAACATAGATTTGCACGCACCCCATATTCAATATGCAAATTAATTTGTGTCAGCTGGTTCAACTGGAAACATGCCAACAGTCAGCCAGCAGTCATCAACTGGTGCAACTGGAAATATGCACACAGACCGGTTATCAACTGGTGCAATGAAAAGATGCCAACAGTCAGTTATCAACTGGTGAAAATAGAAATATGCCAACAGACACGGGATTATCACCACGGAACTTAAATGGTAACTGTGAAACCATCAAGACACCCAACAATAACTCATTTTTCACACCTGGAAATCACGGAATACCCAGCTTAGATTAATAATCCGTTTGAGTCACGAGATCATCACCGCGGAACTGCTGGCAACTTTGACTACCATTTAAATAGGTGTTTTAAGACACCTAATAATTACTAATTTTTCACACCTAAATATCACGGATACACAGCTTAGATTAGTAATCAGTTTTAGCTACGTGATCATCACCAATAAAGTTATGGTAACTTTGAAACCATTTAAAAAGTTGTTTTAAGACACCTAATAATAACTAATTTTTCACACCTAAAAGTCACTTATGACCAGCTTAGATTAATAATCCGTTTGAGTCACGAGATCATCACCGCGGAACTGCTGGCAACTTTGACTACCATTTAAATAGGTGTTTTAAGACACCTAATAATTACTAATTTTTCACACCTAAATATCACGGATACACAGCTTAGATTAGTAATCAGTTTTAGCTACGTGATCATCACCAATAAAGTTATGGTAACTTTGAAACCATTTAAAAGTTGTTTTAAGACACCTAATAATAACTAATTTTTCACACCTAAAAGTCACTTATGACCAGCTTAGATTAATAATCCGTTTGAGTCACGAGATCATCACCGCGGAACTGCTGGCAACTTTGACTACCATTTAAATAGGTGTTTTAAGACACCTAATAATTGCTAATTTTTCACACCTAAATATCACGGATACACAGCTTAGATTAGTAATCAGTTTTAGCTACGTGATCATAACCAAGAAAGTTATGGTAACTTTGAAACCATTTAAAGAGGTGTGTAAGACACCTCAGAATTACTAATTTAATATAACTAGAGATTCACGGACAGAACAATAAGACGATTAGCCGGTGTAAGTAACGTGATTATTACCATCAACCTTGGATGACCTGTGAAACCAATCGATTAAGGTGCTTACAAGACCGAATAATTACTTATTTATCACCACCATCGGTTAACGGACAAAAAACCCGTTGCTTGGTCAAGTGATTATTTGGTCATAAACACGTGATTTACTGAGGTAAGTGGAATCACGTTACTCCAGTCGCGTGATAAATTGGTGATTTTTAGGTTAGATGAAAACGTGAACAGGAGAACCTTTTTTTTTTAAAATGAAAGCACGTGTCGATAACGTTTAAATTTAGTTCAAAGGGCACCATACTTTAAAATCACTTAAAATACACTCCCAAAAGAGGTTACTTTTTAGTGTTTTGTTTATTGGGAAGCATTTGTAATTTTAGAACCACATTAGGCGCATTTTCAGGCACTTCCTAGAGTAAAATGACGTCAAAAAATTGCTTTCTCCTACCTCATCCATGAGTAGGAATCCTTTGCAATTTGAGAATCACATTTAGCGCATTAATGTCCACCGGTACTTCCTGGAAAAAACGAGGCATTCTGATTTTTTAGAAGTAGTGATCTGTCAAGTCGCGAGACGTTGTGTATGCTTCGTTGATGCACAATGCACGTGGCAAAAAATTATCTCGAGTGTATATAGACTGTGTTGTTATCAGCAGGCACGTAGCCACGGGAGGGGGGAGAGGGGGCACGTGCCCCCCCCCCCCCCCCCCAAAAAAAAAAAAAAAAAAAAAAATTAAAAATTAAAAAAATAAAAAAAACATCAAACTCTGGCTACGGCCCTGGTTATCAGGGGCGTCGCTCGACCTTTTTCAGCCGGGGGGGGGGGGGAGTGTAGAGCCCA